GCTTAACCCCAAGGGCAGAGAATGTCAGCTCTAAACCATCAGCAAGGGCACCACAGGGCCACTCAGGAGAACACACAGGCAAGCCCAAGTGAGTGGCACCCTACAGCCAGGTGCAACAGCACATGCCTACAATCCCAGTGACTTGGGAGGCTGAGACAGGAGGATCACAAGTTTGAGGCCAGTCTTTGCAATGTAGCAAGACCCTGTCCCAAAATAAAAAATAAAAAGGGCTAGGGAAGAAGTAGGCCAGGGGTAGAACACTCTTAAGTTTAACTCTCAGTATCTTAAAAAAAACAAAAAAAGGAGGAGGAAAAGGGCATCCTACAAAACAATCAGCCTGTGCCCTTCAAAAGTGTCAAGGTCAAGGTCACAAAAAACAGAACAACCGGGAAAATAGTCTAGATTAAAGGAAACCAGAGAGGCATAACAACTAATGTAACAAGGATCCTGGATGGACTCCTGGACAGAATYTTTTTGGTTTTGGTTTTTCAGTTTTGAGATCTTTCTTCCCCTCTTTTTGTATAAAGGATGTTATTAGGACAATTGGTGACACCTGAATAAGGTCTGTAGCTTAGATAACAGGACTGAATCAATCTTAGTTTCCTGATTTTGACACTTGTTATACAAGAAATGACCTTTTTTAAGAAAGAAATATTCCCTTATGTATTTAGGAGGATAAAGGTATATCATGTCTACATTACTCTGAAATGGTTCAAGGAAAAATTTCGACATCTGTATGTGTGTATACGGACACATATGTGATGTATATAGATTCCGAGAATGAGAGAATGTGATAGAGTAAGAAAGACGAAGCAAGTGTAGTACAAASCTAATATTTATTGAATTTTGTTGAAAGGTATATCAGAATTACTTAAATTATTCTTGAAATGTTCCTGTAAATCTCAATTTTTTTCAAAGTAAACAATTAAGAAACAGGAAAAATGCTTATGGAAGCCAGATGACAAAACAGTCAGGCTTTCTGGTATTAAATTCTGAATGGAATTTGAGAGAAGGGGTTGAGGAGCTGAGCAAATCAGGGCTGAAACCAGGGCTCTAAGGTCAGAATGATGCCAGAGTTCCTTTCCCAGATCTGCTCCCCAAAAGCATGCCCCCCCTTTGGCTTATTCTACTCCCCTCTACTCCAGGATCCTCACTATAAGACAGCAATAAGAAGAGCTGGCCACACAGAGACGGATGGAGCACTAAAGGGTAACACGGATGAACCAGGCTCCCAGGGCAGCACAGGGAAAGTGCCCACTCCTCTTGGCTATCAGGGGCTGGCAGTGAGATTGAAGCTGGGAGGCAGAAGGGAGGAGGCCAGRAAAGGAGGAGAAACAGACAAGGACAGAGTCTCACCGAATCCCCACTCCTAGAGGCCAGAAGAAGAAAGGAACAAAGGAGGTCTGAGTGGGACCTGGAGAGCCAGGCCTTAGAGACAGGGAAAAAGAGAAGCACAGAAGGAGGGCTGACACAGGCAGCAAATGCAGGGGAGAAGGGCACATCCAGGAGCTCTGGACAGCACAGGCTCAGATCTGCTGCCAAAACACCCCTGCTGGAGCCCTTCAGGGAGGAGATTCAACAGAAAGTAAGAGTGAAGCCAGAGAGACAAGTGGGCAGTCAAAGGGAGAAACTTGAAGAGAGTTGGACAGGGCAACAGAGTAGAGGACTGTGCTGTCCTATATGCCAGCAAATAGCCCCATGTGACTACTCGAATTGTGTGGGGCAAGGGTGCTGGGGATCGAACACAGGGCCTCATGCACTCTGAACATGKGATCTATCGGTGAACCCTACTCTCAGCCCCGTGAATGTAAATTTTCTTAAATTTAACCTAAATTACAAARCAAGACCCATTTTGCAAGTTCAGTAGTCACATATGGGTCAATGACTACCATGTGGACAATCCAGTATTTTCTCTCACCACTGAAAGTTTTATTGGACAGAGTGAGGACTCTGGCAGGATTTGTTATACGAAAGATGTCCTGAATACATGGTGTAGTGAGGGCTGGAGCAGAGGAAGGAGGGACCAAAATAAAAACAGAGAAAGGGAATAACAACTGGAAAAAAATTCCCAAAAGGGGCAAGAAGGAAGGAACAAAGTCCAGAGAATGGACAGTGTGGTATATGTGGGCTAATCTTAGTGAAGGGACTTATAGACATTTTCTTCCATGGAGAAAGAGAAGATAAAGGACAGAGAGAAGCAGAGAAAAGTGTTCAGAGGTACTGAGGAGGGTGCAGTGGGAATTTACATTGAGGTAAGGACAGTAAACTAGACTGCAGACATCCTTAATCTTAACAGTAAAAAGGGGCTACTTCCTGAAATGGAAGTACCTCGAAGTTTAAGTAATGGAAAGATATGGCATTCAACCTCTAAATAGATGCAGACAGAGTTAATAAATGGTGCTTTTTTTTTTTTTTGGTTTTTTTCATAGACAAGCAAGATCTCAGTGAAATTAGAACCAGCATAATTTGCAACAGTAACTAGTCTGAAGGTCTTTGTGATTTTTCTCCTGGATAACTTGTAGGATGGGAGAAGAATATACAGATAACAAGGATGATTTTGGATTGAGGACTAGAATATGAGAAGCCCAAAATGTTAAGACAAAGGATTCTTGATTCCAGACAGAACTGAAATGGCTGCCTACCTATACATTCCAAGTGGAAAAATGGAGCCATGAGGGGCTGAAGCTTTGGAACAGCAAGCGATTTAGGGACCAGAGTGATGGTTAAAATAGGGCACAGTAGGTGGCAGAAGTCCAAGTTTCAGCTCTTGAAGGTAGAAAAATTCCCAAGTCTAAATAGGTCCAAGATATTAGCAGTTGAAGTAGAATGAAAACTGAACCATAGAAGTTAATGTTGAAGAACTTCAAAGTCAATGAATTAAAAGAGCCTCAACGTATCCACAAAGTCACTAGCAACAGACAAGACAGAGAAGGGAAAGAAGCTAGCTGCTCCCACTGTTTCTTATTCTTTTGTGGCATCAAGGGAAGTGATTCCCAAACCTGAGTGAACATCAGAACCATCCAGGAAACTCTGTTTTCTCTCTCCCTCCCCTATCACTCCTCCTTCTTTTGRGGTTTGTTATAAAATAAGGATCTTTTAGGTCTCACTCATCCTCATGATTCTAATATGGTATATTTAACAGAGTCTAACAGGCCAGGCTTTTCAAAATGTTCCAGGTAATTCTGAGGAGCCACCAGGTTTAAGATAAGAAAGAAACCAGAAGATAAGAAGGAAGGTACTGGGAAAACAGAACTACTTTCTAAGAGAAGACTTGGCTGGGAATGAGGTGGCACTAAGGAGCAAGGGGAAGAACATCCCCTTCTGGTGCAATGGAGAGGACAGTAGAGAGGATTCTTCTGAGTAGAGTTGTTCACTCAGGCTCTGATGTGAGGGGAGAGAAAAAAGATAGGYTCAGCAAAAAATAAAAAAGTATGGCTGCAGGGTGCAAGAAAAAAGACACTGAAAGGCAGTCTGGAGTCATGCAGGTCAGTGCCCTGCAGAGAGAGGAAGACCAGTTTGCTATGAGGGTTCCAAGTACAATGAGATATAGTTCATTGAAGAGTTTGTAGGGTTTAGTGGTTGAATTTCTGAACAGTAAAGATTTTCCTATTTGAATGCTATCAGATTTCTRAGATGCAAACCATTAAAGATTATTAAGCCCTCAGGTAAACAAGCTTGCAGAAGCTTATTTAATATTAACAACTTTATCTTCCTAACTCATATTTTTATACAGATAAAATCAAATTTGAATGACTATCAAGGGCATCCTTGAAGCAGAAAGTCAAAAGGGGCATGCATCCCAAGGGATCTGTAAGAGGAATCCAGAACACTTCTTCTTTCCCTCTCAGGAGAAGGTTTATGGAAGCAGAATATGGAAAGGGGCCTGAGTATCTTTTTTTAGTACTAACTAGCGCTAAAGTAAAAGAAGTACCACAGCCTATTTGGCAACCCCCTACACACACATACACACTTCATGACAGATACTATKCGCAAATCCTAGGAAAGGTTCTCAATAAAGAACATATTTACACTCACAGACCTCTTATCKAAAGAATAAGCTGCAAATGTTTGTCCCTGCTTCTGAGAGAGTTACAGCTCTGTGGATTCAAATAATTATTCTGATTATTCTTATGAAATAATTTCTAACACTGACATACAGATTTTAAGCTGAGGGTTTGCGCGTGCGCACTGTCACACACACGCACACACACACAAAACCTCATGCACATTGAAGAAATGACTCACTTAATTTGCTGCTGCCTGCCACTACTGGGATTGATTTTACCTRTTCAAACACAAAGTTTTCTATTAGATCAACTTCAGGAAAGAAGTACTCCGGGAGCATTAATCCTGATTTTGTTCACTATGTTAGGGCACCTTAGGGTTTTAACCTGTGCATTTTAGCAAGCCCTCTCTAGACCACGACTGCTTTCTCCATTACTAACCTTCCACTTCCATTTCTTGCCGTTTTGGGAATCAATTAACAAAAACCCCTAGTAAAATTAATATGGTTAAGCCTTGTATATACAGTACCCGCAAAACCGTACTTTGGGGCCCTTTCTCAGCTCACAGTACAATGCAAAGAACCTGAGTCCTTCTTTTCAAAGATSAGAAAAAGAAAAGCCGCGAGGGAACAGAATGATTAACCTGCCCAAGGTCACTCAGCTCTGAGTAGTGGGACAGCTGACTCGCCCTTACCGGTAGCAATCTGTAGACCACCCCAGCGCCCCCAAACAGTCTCTCCCGGCCTGTTGGTTTGCTAGCATGCAACCCCCGCGAAAATGCAATGCCAGTTGCGCTCTGTGCCCAACTTCTCCCCTTCGCGTCAGCATGCAGTTAACCCTCTMGCCCGCAGCATGTCACAAGGGCCACGCGCAGCTCTCTTTCTTCCCCATGCCTATCTACTAAGCTGGGGCCCCAAGGTCACCGGCGGTCCCAGGGAGCGCCCGCTGCCGGGACCCGGAGCGTGGCCGGCCGGGGGCTCGGGGCGCGGCACTCACCGGCGCGGGGGGCGGGCGCGCCGCGGCTGCCCATATCCTCGCCGGCGCGGCTGGGTGCGGCGGCCACTGGCGCGGGCTGTGCAGGGCGCCCGGCTGCGGGCCCGCGCCGCGGGGAGCGCCGTCCAATCAGCGCGCGCCTGCCGCCTGGCCCCGCGCGCGGCCCGGCMGGGTTCGCGGCTCCCGAGGGGCGCGAGCCGCCGCGCGCAGCCCGAGCCGCTTCCGGGCGCGTTGCCTGGACGCGGTTGCCGTGGCAGCCCGAGCTGGAGGCTTTCCCCGCGCACCCGCGCCCAGCCCGGCGGCGCCGCCCCTCCTCCCTCCTCCTTCCCACACCCAAAATAGCCTCTCCTCATCGCTGCTGTTTCCCACAGAGCTAGCATCCAAGCGCCTCGGAGTTGGCGGGCGGGGATTTCGCTTATTGGAAAATAAATCCTGTTGTAGGACGGGTTGACTTGAATGTAGAGTTAGSTGTTGAAATGGTGCCTGATTAAGCCATGGCGTTTGCACTGTAATTCTCCCCAAAGCCCTAACATCCCTTATTTATTAAATCTCTTCCCCACAAAAAAAATAACTAACTGCCCGCTCCTCCTCAGATCGGGGAGAAGTTAGTCGACGAGGTCACGGTCTGGTTAGCGGCTCGCGCGCTGATGCCTCACCTGTACAGGTAAACGAACACCCTGGGCACCAAGTGCCTTTTAACGAATCACCCTGACATCCCCAGCGAGGACCCAGGGTCACGTTTCTGGGCAAGATACGACGCAAGGAAGAATGCTACACCCCTCTTCTTGCCAGCCCTTCCTTCTCTCCTCTGCCTCATCCTCCTCCCAGAGCATCCTAACTCTTTCCACCTTCCTCGCAATGACGGATTCTCGGCAGGATGCACAAACCCATCCACTCATAATTTCGCTTCCTCTCCATGGGCGGGATTTCAGCGGAGCGGTAGACCCCCACCTTTGCCCGCCTCGCTGCGTCTGGTTCATACCTCTTTSGTGGAGACTCTCTCCTACTTACCCAGCGCGGGTCCTCCTGTCTGTCTCCCCACCCGCCTGAGCCTCTCCAATCCTGGATAAGGAGTGTGACACAGTAGGAAGAGCTGTGTGTGGAGTCAGGCAGAGCCGTCTTGGAAACCTTGCTTCAGCAGATATTTGTGTGTTGTCTTTGGTATTCTGAGGCTATTTCCTTGCCTTTATAATAGAATAATACCCCCAACAAGGGGTTAAAGCATCTGTAACACTCATTCCGTCAACAGTGTTTATTGGATGCCTGCTAAGTGCCAGAAACTATGCTTAGATCTAAGACAAACAGAAAAGAAGGAAAAAAGAAATGTGACCCTCTACTCTCATGGAGCTTGCAGCCTGACATATGTTAATCAAATGTTATAGACACAGGTAAAACTGCCACTGTAACAAGCAGGGTCCTGGCCTTGAGTTCTGTGATATGGAGATCGGACATCATAGCTTCCCTTTAACACTGGAAAAACCTAACTATCATTTTTTCCTATTCTCTGGTAGATTCCCACAGCCTGGCACCTGATATGTAGTTAGTTAATATACATTGAACTGAATCCTATGCCACAATGATGACAATATCAATCATTTTCCCAGTGACTTTCTGCCACTTAAAATATGTTTGAAACATACATAACTTGCCACAATGTCTAGAAGGACATAGATGTTACCAGAAAGTAACCATTCAAGCTCAGAGCCCATTGTGAAGAGTCCAGACACAAGTTAAAAATGTTATTTTTCCTGTCTCCATCAGATCGCCTTCCAGTATAAGATGCGCATCTCAGGTGAACACATGACTGTCCCCTATTGTTTCCACATCTCTCCTTCCTAATCTACTGTCTCTCTGGTCTAGCTCAATCCCGCCAGGACCCACTTTAGTCTAAGCCTCAGGGTACTCACTGTTGGCTTTCTAGGAGGATGACAGTGGCTCTTTGTATTCCTTAGAATGAAACACCCATAAAAGAGAGGAAACTCCCTCTTGCTACTTCTAATGGCCTTCAAAACATAACTTTGATATTTTATCTACCACAAGACTCCCTCACACTGTAGGTAAGGAAGGTGAGAACCTGGATGGTGAGAAGGTAAAGGGTCCTTGCCACATGGATACACTCTTCTATTTAGGCTGACATTAATTTCCTTTTTAACAACTATAACAACTAATATAAGTAAAAAAAATCATATTTAAAAAGATTCATTAACAGTAAAAAAAAGTAATTGTAGTTCTTTCAAAACCTTGACTCCTCAATACAAGCCCTGAGAATTCTAAGTAGTCTTGGATTAAGCCCATGACTTCCCACTCTACCTTTTATTTTTTCTTTCCAGGCAATTTTCTTTTGGAATCCTAAGGAGATGAAGTTTAGCACACAATAATTTAAACCTACCCTAATTTCTTTTCTTTTTGCTATTTCTGTAAGATAAATTGCAATCAAGTATCCATTTTTCCAGAATTGTTTTTATTATCATTCATTAGAGGAAATGGATTTTTCTTGCATTATCTTAATTAACAATCCATGATTTATCACAAATTATTTATGCTGGCAGAGATTACTAAAAATAGTCTTAACAAAGAGATCAGTTGTATAACTTTGATGGCCATAATACTAGTCACCAACCAGTCATTAAATAAAAATAATTTGTGAAGTATATGTGCCAGACACTATAGGGATTTTTTTCTTTTTTCTTTAYGTGGTGTTGGGGATCAAACCCAGAGCCTCCTGCATGCTAGGTAAGCATTCTACCACTGAGCTGCATCTCCAGCCCTGCAGGGATTTTCTTTAAATGAATTTTTTGCACAGCTGGGTTCTGTTCCTAACTGTCCCTGCACTGCCACTGATCTAGATGATTAAATGTACAGGACATCTGTGAGGACAGTGAACAGGCTCATCTAGATAAAGGTCAATAGCTTGTGTAGGTCAAAAATGTTTTGGGGTTTTTTTTTGTTGTTGTTTTTTGGTTTTGTTTTTGTTTTTGGTACCAGGGACTATACCCAGGGGGGCTTAACCACTGAGCCACATCTCCAGCCTCTTTTATATTTTATTTAGAGACAGAATCTCATGAGGTTGCTTAGGGCCTTACTAAGTTGCTGAGGCCAGCTTTGAAATTGTGATCCTCCTGCCTCAGCCTCCTGAGTTGCTGGGATTACAGGTTTGTGCCCCAAAAATGGTATTTGTAAAAAGACTGGTAAGTAGTTGGGTTAAGAATGTGGTAAGTTTGGGGGCCGGAGTTGTGGCTCAGTGGTAGAGTGCTTGCCTAGCATGTGTGAAGCACTGAGTTTGACACTTGGCACCAAGTAAAAATAAACAAATAAAATTAAAGTATTGTGTCCATCTACAACTAAAAAGTTTTTGGGAAAAAAAAGAATGTGGTGAGTTTGGGATGGATTCAATTATCACTTTATCTTGACCTCAATATTTTCAACAATGGCTTGTAACTTTGTGGAAGGTCCAGATCTATTGGAGAGCTGTGCTACACATTGTTCATTCTTAATAAGGTGCCAAAGAATTGAACCACAAGGACAGGTCATGTGCAGGGAACAAAAGAGGAAGATAGTTCCCACAGCGGAACAATGAGGAAGAACCAGAGTTGTTAGAGTGGGGACAATGTCAGAGAGGGAATAGGGAAAAAAAAGTTCAAGGACAGAAGGCTCCAGATGACTAAGTGAATAGATCACTTGTGACCTTCATGGATGTTTTTTAGTTACCACATTGCTGTGGGTAGTAGGAAAAGACTAGATACTGAAGAAGTATAAGAATGGTGTTAGTCACTCTTTAAAGAAGTTCTGCAGTGCAGGGAAGGTGAGAAATAACATCAGTACAATGTCTCTCATACCTAGTGGCCACTTTCAAGATAGAAAAAAAAAATAGCCTGTGTTCACATATACTGTTGTAGAGTAAAGAAATGGCAGAGCACAAGACATCACATTGTACTGATCAACAATCTAATMTATCATTAATTCATTCTACCATTAATTTCATAATTGCTGTATCTGTTTCCTTTTAAATTTTTTTTTATTTATATATGCTGCTGAGAACCGAACCCAGTGCCTCACACATGCTAGGCAAGTGCTCTACCACTGAACCACAACCCCAGCCCTCTGTTTACTTTTTTAAAAAATACTTCCTCCATTAGGAGAAATCTTATTGAATAAAGGTGAGGTTCAGACTTTGGGACATTATTCTCTTAACAACAAACTAAAAAGTTGAGTTAACAAGTAGTTAACACAACATATGTTATTCTTTATGGCTTTTCTTTGTTTTCCTTTCTAATAATAGAAATGTCTTAGAATTAAGGAAATCCCTTTTTCCCTCTTTTATGTGTAAACATAATAGATTTTTCATATGTTTTGAATATACTCTAATTGGCTTAGTTGTTTCACTAGTTATTTCCTTTCTTGTGGAGGGTAATTCTCTCAAATAGTATGCTTTATTTATGAATTTGTATCTATTCATCTCACAAGAATTTTTTAAAGTAAGTACACCTAAGGCACACCATCAGAGAAAGCATAAAATTTTGTAAAGATCCTTCCTGGTATTATTGGTGTCTTAGATAATTGCTGTTGTACAAAAGAAGGCAAATTCAGCCTCAGTGTGTAGCATACAACTGAGACATAACAGAACATAATACCACTTACAAGAAAGATAAAGAAGGCTTTGTCTGCCCAGGGCAGTGGCACACGACTGTAATCCCAGCAGCTTGGGAGGTTGAGACAGGAGGATCGTGAGTTCAAATCCAGCCTCAGCAGCAGCGAGGCATTAAACAACTCAGGGAGATCCTGTGTATAAATAAAATACAAAATAAATAGGGCTGGGAAGGTGGGTCAGTGGTCTAATTCCCCTGAGTTTAATTCCTGGTACCAAAAAAAAAAAAGGAAGAAGAAGGCTTTGTCTGAAGAGATTATGGCCAGAAATTCTAGGATAACTTCATAATAAAATTAATTCCTCCCAAACTCAGTTCAGTACCAAGAAGAGTACTACAAAAAAAAATCCCACTACTCATTGATTTTGGAAAATTTTTCTTTCCTATTTCCAACAATTTTCAGAAAATATACGTGTGTGTTGTATACACACATATATAC